TGAACTGGAGAAGTCCTGAACTTATGATGATCTGTCTGGCATGGCATTTGTGCCAGTGCCCACATGAAATCAAGGGAGTGCAAACAAAACAAAGCAATATCATCAATGCAAGTTAGATGCTGATTGCACCACCCCTCCCGAGCTATTTTCTGCCTCATCATGGATTGCCTTGTTTCTATCAAATCAGCACTGCCATCCTCACAAATTCTCTATCCAATCTCCTAGTGATTGAAGTATATTTTCCTTCCCTCCTTTCATCATCCTGAGTCCATATGCACTATATATGGAGTCACTATATATACAGAAGAGACTCTTCAGCCCAACAACTCTGCACTGATATACTGACACATCCCACTTCCCAGCACTTTACCCACGCCATCTTAGTCAGAGATGGACAGCACAGAAATTGAGTCTTTGATCCAACTCATCTATGCTGACCAAACTCCTATATAAATCAAGATTTGTTCAACTGTATAGTTAATGTCTTCATTCTACTATTACATATGACTTTTCCTGCTAGGATTGTCGTTCTCAACACACTGGTCCAACAGCAATATACTTTCCAGATATTTAAATTGGTTTCACTAAATCCAACAGTTTTCTATTTATTAAAATGCTGACCCCATTGGCTGCAAACACATGGCATGAAACTGGTCACATTTGCTAGCATATAGCAATTCACCTTCAGAGCCATGGTGACTTCCACAAATGATCTAACCATTTCCCTTTAAAGCACATAGTTTCCTGCTTCCTTCCTTAACACTGGTGACCATTCTGCAACTCACTTATTGGAATGCTCAATTCACACATGAACATCAGGGGTCATTCAAAATCAACCTCAGTTTCCTTTTCCTTCCTTGTTTCAATGCAAACTTACTTACCCTCTTTGGCAACTTGTCTGTTGTATCAGTTTCTTGATTCAACAAAGTCAGTTAATAGTTACTCATCTCTATTTATGATTGAATTTTATGACTCATGGCTCTTTAGCCATCACTGGAACTTGAGCAATTTGGTTTGGTGGGGGGGCGCGGGGAGGAAGAGGTGTTTGAATTCAATAAAAACAAAAAATCTGGAATTAAGAATTTGCTGACAACCATTGTTGATTGTTGGAAAACCCCATCTGGCTCACTACTATCCTTCAAGGAAGGAAATCTGGCTTCCTTACCTGGTCTGGCCTACATGCGACTCCAAAACTATGGCAATGTGGTTGACGCTCAACAGCCGTCTGAAACTGCCTAACTAGCCAGTTATATCAATCACTATGGAGTCTCAACAAAGAAATGAAACTGGACAGGCCACCTGACATCGACCTAGGCACTAGAAAAGACAACAGCAAAAACAACCCTGTTGAACCTGCAAAGTCCTCCTTACTAACATCTGGGGGTCAGTGCCAAACTTGGGACACCTGTCTCTCAAACTAATTTGAGCAACAGCTTGACATAGTCATACTCACACTTACAGAATCATACTCTACAATGTCCCAGACACCACCACCATCCCTGGTGATGTCCTGCCCCACCAGAACAGACCCAGGTATACAGTTGGGAAGGAATTGCCCTGGGGGTCCTCAACATTTACTCAGGACCCACAAAGTCTCACGGCTTCAGGTTAAACATGGGCAAGGAAACCTGTCGGCTACCACATACTGTCCTCCCTCAGCTGATGAATTGGTACTTCTCCACATCGAGCACCACTTGGAAGAAGCACTGAGGGTGGCAAGGGTGCAAAATGTACTCTGGATGGGAGTTTTCAATGTCCACTACCAAGAGTGGCTTGGCACCAATCCTACTGATTAAGCTTGTCGGGTCCTAAAGGACATAGCTGCTAGACTGGGTCTGGGGCAGGTGGTGAGGGAACCAACGAGGGGGAAAAACATGCTTGAACTGATCCTTACCAATCTGCAGGCTACAGGTGCATCTGTCCACGACAACATCAGCAAGACCGATTGCCACACAGTCCTAGTGGAGATGGTACCACCACCGAGCTAAACGGAGCAGACTTCAAAACAGATCTAGCAACTCGAGACTGGGCTTTCATGAGGGCCATCAACAGCAGAACTGTACTCGAGCATAATCTATAACCTTATGGCCCAGTATATTCCCCGTGTAACCATCACTATTAAAGCAGGGCATCAACCCTGGTTCCATGGAGAGTGCAGAAGGGCATGTGAGGAGCAGCACCACAAGCATACCTAAAAATGAGGTGTCCACCTGGGAAAGGTACTAAACAGGACTGCATGTGCGCCAGATGGCTCTATCACTTGCTACTCATGCTAAATGGTCCCACAACCAACGAATCAGATCTGAGCTCCACAGTTCTGTCACATCCAGCTGTGACTGGTGGACAATTATACAACTCACTGGAGAAGGAGGCCGCTTAACGTATATCCCCATCCTCAATGATGGAAGAGCCCAACACATCAGTGCAAAAGATATGACTGAAGCATTTGTAGCAAACTTCAGCCAGAAGTGCTGAGCAGTTCACCCATCTTGGCCTTTTCCAGTGGTCCCCAGCATCACAGATACCAGTCTTCAGCCAATTTGATTCAAAGAAATGGTTGGAGACACTGGATATTGAAAAGGTTATGGGCCCTGACAACATTCTGGCAAGAATATTCAAGACTTGTGCTCCAGAACTAGCCGCTTCCCTAGCCAAGCTCTTCCAGTACAGTTACAACACTGGCATCTACCTGACAATGTGGAAAATTGCCTAGGTATATCTTGCACACAAAAAGCAGGACAAATCCAACCCAGCTAGTTACCACCCCATCAGTCTACTCTTGATCATCAGTAAAGGGATGGAACGGGTCATCAACAGCGCTATCAAGCAGCACCTGTGCAGCAGTAACATGTGGCACAGTGGCTTAGTGGTTAGCACTGCTGCCTCACAGCACCAATTCTAGCTTTGGGCGACCCGCTGTGATAGTTTTCACATTCTGTGTCTGCATGGGTTTCCACCAGGTGCTCCGGTATTGTCCCAAAGATGTGCAAATTAGGTGGACTGGCCACGCTAATTTGCCCATAGTGTTCAGGGATGCGTTGGTTAGGCATATTAGCCGTGGAAAATGCAGGGTCACAGGGATAGGGTAAGGGTGGGATGCTCTTTGGAGGGTTGGTGTAAACTTGTTGGGTCAAATGGCTATTTCCACACTGTAGAGTTTCGGAGAAACATGTACAGTAACATCCAGTTTGGGTTCTGCCAGGGCCTCAGCTCCGAACCTAATTACACCCTTGATTCAAACATGGGCAAAAAAAAAAAAAAAGCTGAATTCCAGAGGTTAGGTGAAGTCAGAGTGACAGCCCTCGACATCAAGGCTGCACTGACCAGAGTGTGGCATCAAAGAATCCTAGCAAAACTGAAATCAATGAGAATCAGGGGCAAACTCTCTGCTGATTGGAGTCATACATGGCACATAACATGGTTGTGGTTGCTGGAGGTCAGTCATCTCCGGTCCAGGACCTCTCTGTGGGAGCTCCTCAGGGTAATGTCCTTAGCTCAACCATCTTCAGCTGCTTCATCAACGGCCTTCTCTCCACCATAAGGTCAGAAGTAGAGATGTTTGCTGATGGTTGCACAAAATGTTCAGCACCATTCGTGACTCTTCTGGAATATGAATTGCTTCAGTATCTACGTAACAAGATCTGGACAATATCCAGGCTTGGGTTGACAAGTGGCAGTAACAATTGTGCCAGACAAATGCCAGGCAACAACCGCCTCCAATAAGGAGACCACCAGCCCTCGAGGTTAATTACCTGACTCCCCATAGCCTGTCCGTCATCTATAAGGCACAAGTCAGGAGTATGATGGAATCCTCCCCAGTTGCCTGGATGGGTACAGCTCCAACAATACTCAAGAAGCTTGGCATGATCGAGGACAAAGCAGCCAGCTTGACTTGTGCCACATCCACTCCCTCCACTACTGACGCTTGGTGGCAGCAGTGTGCGCTACCTACAAGATGCACTGCAGAAAATTTACAAAACATTCTTGGACATCTAAACCCACAATCACATCCACTTAGAAGGACAAGGGCAGCAGATACATGGGAACACTGTCACCTGCAAAGTTCCTTTCCAAGCCACTCACCATCCAGACATAGAAATATATCACTCATGTCACTGTTGGTGGGTCAAAATCTTGGGATTCCCTCCCTAAGAGCATTGTGGGTGTACCTACAGCACATCAACCACGGCTGTTCAAGAACGTAGCTCACTATCACCTTCTAATGCCAACTAGGGACAGGTAATAAATGTAGCCCACATACCTTGAATTAATTAAAAAAACAACATCCAGGAAGCCTCTGAATAATATTAATCTAAGAGGTTTGGTGAAAAAAAAATACCCTGTCACAGCTTCCACACATTTTGAACGAGTTTGTTTTCCCCAAATAAAAGAATCATTGTAGAAAAAAAAAGAATCAATCATTCTAGAATGGTTCAGCACAGAAGGACACTACACGGGCACACAATTAGTCCCATTGACCTTTCACCACAGCCCTCCAAATGTTCTCCCCTTTACCTAAGCCATGATCAAGATCTGTTGCCAGTTGGCTTGTATCTTGCTCAACTATTTCTATCCACTCCAAAAGCAAGAGTACGTGAGCAGGCAGGCAGTGGATCAAGCACCAGTACAGCATTGCAAGCAATGGACCCTGTACACTTAAATTGGAGATGGGATTATGCCATCACTACAGAGGGAAGAAAGGAGGTGTTGGGGTATACAGGACGAAGAACTAAAATTTTTGTGAAATATGCACACTTGGAAAAATTCAGACTTGACCAATGACATCAACTCAACGGTATATAGATAAAATGGGCAAAGCAGCAGTGAAACAAATATACACGTACAAATAATGTGCAAAAAAATTCATTACTCTATTTAGTGTGCAACCTCAGCAGGATTTTGCTTAAACAGAGCACAATTGCACCGAATGCAGTTTTTGGAAGAGACAAAGCCAAAATGAATCTTTTTCACCCATTCTCCACACTCAGAAGCAATCTCACCATTCGGTTTCAACCATTTCTTAGCATGTAGGTAACTCTCCAGCATTCGTTCATTGAAGAGCATGTAGCCCATGGGTTCAGAAATAATGATATCGACCTGTTCCGGGATGTTAACCTCCTCCACCTTCCCAGGGATGATGAGGATGCGATCTGCTAGGTTGTTGCTCTTTACCAGAAGCTGCGAAAGAGAATAACCATCATTTTCATTAGCACCAGACAATGTCTCAGAAATGACCAGATATCCTGACATCTAAATTTAAGTTTTGTCTTATTGCCACCGGATTCCAAAAGAAGGAATGCAGCAGACTTTCCTTGCTGTATTTCTCAACTCCATCCTGTGAAAATAAAGGGACATAAAAATGCTACTTGGTTTATTATACCCCTTTGCCTCAGTGACATGTTTGAACAGGTACCCAAATGACACTCTTCTACTAATATGGTTGAAAATGTTTGTTCTACACCACATTATTCTACTGGTTTACTACATCTATGATGATATCAGAAAACAAAATAAGTAATATTATGTTGTCACAGACAAGGGGTGGGGGGAATAAAGGGAAACAAAATAAAGCGTGTGTTAAGGAGTGGAAGAGCAAAGGTAACATCAGTAGTTATCCATACGAGCCAGCTCTCAAAAAAAAAAAGGACAGATATTAAAACACCAAACTCAGCCAAACGGAACAATTTATCAATACTTCCATTGCATTAAATTGCTCAGAACACAGATCTTACAGAGAAAGAAAAACAATATTTTAGATCAATCATGGACAAAAATGATTGATAAGCATGATTTCCCAGATAGTGGAGAGAAAGGGTTGCCACAAATTGTTCCTACATATCTGAAGAACTACTCCTGTTGAGGATAGTTCTTTAGCTACAAATCTATTTGGGAAACAGTGAAAGACTTTGAACTATTTACACACACTGTATAAAGTTAGAATGTTTTCAAAAAGGGAGTTAGATATAGCTCTTAGAACTAAAGGGGTCAAAGGAGATGGGGAGAAATGAGAACAAAAGGTACTGAGTTGGATGATCAGCCATGATCACATCAAATGGTGCAGCAGGCTCGAAGGTTTGAATCGTTTATCCCTGCTGCTATTTTTTATGTTTCTATGCAAAGTACCACAAGCTACCTACTGTTTTTACAGTAAAAAAAATTTAACATGAGTTTTGCTTCATGGCTTCTCCACAGAGATTTAAAAAAAGGCTATTATTGCTTTAATTACTGAGAAAACTTACGTTTGAGAGAATTTGGGACTCCATGGCTTAGCAACACTCTCTAGTCTCAGAATTCTGTTTTGTAGACCCAGCCACCTCAGTGGCTGCAGTCTTGCTTCTGATATCCTGCTTCTTCAAAAAAAAAAGAGATCCTAGAAACTTGATAGCTTCCAAATGCCAGTATTTCTGGCTAACTGGTAAAACCTGAAGTAGTGTATTCTGACGAATTAACAACTCAAATCCAAGTTACTTGGATTCATAACTGGACATTAAATCAATCAATCTACAGCAGTGATTCAGCTTCAGTGACAGGAAATCCAGCAGATATTAGAAGACATCATATTTTATCGTTTGTTTCCAGACCTTTGGTCCACAGGAATGGCTTATCTGTTTTGTTGTTCTAAAAGAAAAATCCATCACTGCAGTGACAGGTCTAGTTTTTGAGTGTGTGTGTTTGTGAGATTAAGGGGATGCAGTTTTAATTCTGGATCATAGCTTAGGTGTCAACCTGAGTTTGCCATTTGTCCAACCATATGTTTTGCTCATAGTAAAAACAAGAAACAGGTGGAATAGGTCATTCTATAAGATCATGGTTGATCTGTTTCAGGCCTCAACCCCACAATATTTCAAAAATTCATTTACCTCCACTGATGTAGCCATCACAACTCTCTAGGGTAGAGAATTCCACATGTTCACTGTCCTCCAAGAAATTCCTTCCCATCTCAGCTTTTGATGAGTGCCCCTAATTCTATGCACCCTAGTTTGAAATTTTCCCATGAGTGGAAACATCTTCTGTCAAGCCCCTTTAGGATCTTGTATTTTTCAAGAAGATCATTCTTCATGCTGCTTAACTTCGAAGAATTAAGCCTGCTTAGCCATTCTTGAAAGCCAAACCCGTTTGTCTCAGTAATCAGGATCAGCCTAGTGAATCTCTTTTGGACTGCCTCCAATGCCAACATATCTGTTTGTAAATACAGGAACCAAAGCCGCACACAGCATACCAGATGCAGCCTCAGCAACAAAACATAACAACTTCCCTATTTAAAGTCCAAGTCCCTAGGGCCAAAATTCCATTTGCCTTCTTCATTACTTGCTGCACCTGCTAACTTTGCGTTTCACGCACAAGAGCACCCAGATCCCTTTGTGCTGCACATTTTTGGAGTCTCTTTCCACACAAATAATCTTCTGCCTTTGGATTTTTCCAACCAAAGTACATGACCTCTGACTTTCCTATAAACTATCTGCCAATTTGTTTTTGTACACTTGTGGGACAAGGGCATTGTTGGCCGACCAGCAATTGTTACCCATCTCTATCTGCCTTTTAACCGAGTGGCTTGCTAGGCCGTTTCAGAGGGCAGCTGGCAGTCAACCACATTGCTGTGGGTCTGGAGTCAAACCATGTGAGGCTGGCAGACTTCCTTCCCTGAAGGACATTAGTGAGGCAGATGGTTTTTCTGACAATCAACAATGGTTTCACAATCATCAGTGGATTCTTAATTCCAGATTTAAAAAAAAAAATTGAATTCAAGTGCCACCATCTACCATGGCAGGATTAGAGCCAGGGTCTCCAGATCCTTAGCAATAATAGCACTATTCCATTGCCTCCCCAAATTTTGCCCAGTTACTCAACCTGTCATATCCACTTGCAGATTCCTCATAATTCTCAACTCAACATGCTCTCCCATCTTTTTTTAAAATCATCACCAAATTTGGATACATTACACTTTGCCCCAAGTCATTATTACGGACAGTTAAAATATTGGGACCCTAAGGTCAATCCTTGTTACACGCTACTAGTAATGTCATTCCAATCAGAAACTTATACGGGAAAAAAAACCAGTAATCCAACTCAGTCTTCTGTATGTTAACCAATTATCAAACCACGCTAATAGGTTACCCATACCGAGATCTTGTGCAATAACCTTTATGTGGCACCTTATTGAGTCCCTTCTGGAAATCCAAGTAGACTACATTGACCAGTTTTCCTTCATCAACTCTGCCTGTTGTATCCTCAAAGAACTGCAACATGGTTTTGTGAAATAGAAATCATGTCGACTTTGATTGCAGAAGCTTTTCTAAATATCCTGCTGTTTCTTCCTACTCAAAGATTATTTTGGAATTCACTAAAAAAAAAAAAAAGGGGGCCTGGTGTACATTCTCTTTAATTTTGATAGTAGTACTAAAGAGAAACAAACGGCCATTTTGGTAAAACTGGGTAAGACTTGATTATCATCTCATTCCTCCTGTCACAGTTGCAACACCCTATTCATACTATCAAATTCAACCTGTGATTCGTTAACAGAACATTTAAGACTGCAACAAAATACTGTACTTGAGCCAGTACTTTAATAAAACAACTCCCTTGGCAGGGGATGTTCTGCCTCAAATTCATTGCTACTGAAAATAGATGTCTGTGCTAGTTTCCAAATGCTTTTACAGGCTGCGAATGGCAGCCACCTTCAAAGCCTCAGGATAGGGGACTCAGCCCAATCAAACTCGCTTGGCTACTCAAGACATCCAAGTATTTGCAATGCTTAGAATGCTGAAGTACTGAATGCCGAAGTACTCAAACAGAACAAATGAGCTATTGAATCCTGTTGGGAGTATTTCATATTTGCAAAGAATCCAGGACAATGCTAACTGAATATTCATATCTACAAAAGAAACATTTTTATTCATTAAACAGGATGAGGAAGTCACTGGCTAGGCAGCATTTATTGCCCATCCCTAACTGCCCAGAGTCAATCATATTGCTATGGGTCTGGAGTCACATATAGGCCAGACTAGATTAAGGATGGCAGCTTCATTCCCTAATGGACATTAGTGAACCAGATGGGTTTTTCCTGACAGTCAACAATGGTCTCATGGTCATCATTAGATTCTTAATTCCAGATATTTTTTAATTGAATTCCAATTCCACCATCTACCGTGAACGTTATCTGGGTCTCTGGATTAATAGTCTAGCAATAATACCACTAGGCCATCGCCTCTCCTAAAATCACTACTGAAGATATACATCCTATCACAAATACGAGGCATTACAGATCTGTTCAAAGGTCTAGACTCTATAAGGATTTTTCTACCAAAAAAAAAAACAGCCGAGGTGGTTGAAGTTCATTTAACGTCATACATTTGTGCAAAATATTTTTATCCCAACCTAATTTGTCCTAATAATTCACATACAAGGTAAAGTGAAGTAGGCATTGCTGAGAAATATTCCACACTGTATGGACTTCAAATCCTTTTAAAATGGCCCACCTTTAACAGTAAAGCAGCTATAAAAGCAGTGCTATTATTTTAGAGATATGGAGGGGACCGGGACGGGAAAGAAAAAAGGAAAGAAAGAAAAAGAAAAAGATAAAAAGGAAAAAGGAAAGGAAAAAAAAAGGATGGAAAAGGGGAAAGGAAGGAAAAGGAGGAAGGAAAAGAAACAAAAAACAAACAAACAACATGGGAACTATTTCAGTCCCAGTCTTTGGGTACGGATGCTCATATTCAACAGTCAGCTTCTCCAGCTGTCAGTTTTATGATGTGGTGCCCTACTCCTCTCCTTTTCCCGTCACAGCTCCTCATTATGTCCGCCTTCAAGGATGACCAGATTGTGCTATGGATTAGTGGAAGGTGCATTTGGGTCTTTAAAAGGAGAACAAGAAAAGAAAAGTGACATACACAAAACGATTGGAGAAGTACCTTAGAAGGGGAAAAAAAAAGGGGTTTAATGATCTAAGCAATTATGAAATTGCCAATAGCGGTTACCTGGTAAGAATAGCCATAAACAAAATGAGGTAAGTGATCAGCTAACCTGTTCTTATTTGGGTGACAGATGACAAATAAATCCACAGATCCATCCTTTATAATTGACAGACAAATAAAAAGAAAAATGATGATTTAACAACTCATCTGATGGACCTCTGAGACAGCACCATTCCTTCAGTACTGTATGCACGAATGAAGAAAAGAACAAGCCCACCCCTTTACAAAAGGTGTGTACAACAGGTGCAGTCAGTCAAGATAAACCCATAGTGATGCAATAATATCTACAACTGTTAAAATGCCTTTGGAACACAAGAAATCCAAACACAGAGTTTATAATGGGTCCAAGAAAATTTTAGAAGAAACACAGATAAAAGTGCTTACTGCTCTAAGTTTTGGACAAATCAAGTATACATGAACACAAATGAAGCACAGTCCTGAGTAGAATTCCAGAGATTAATAGCTCTGCAGTTGCACCTTGTGACTTCAATTGGCTCTACACCAAAAAAGTAGAATCAGAAGCAGGTTGTTTACCTCAGCATGCTGAGCCATGGTGCTTGCTTCCACTGCAAACACCTTTCGTGCTCCCGCCTGCACAGCAAAAAATGATAAAATTCCAGAGCCACATCCCACGTCTAGTACAACCTGTAAGAAATCAGAGTTTAATAAACCATTTATTTAGACTATCCATGAAAAAGAAACAGCAATAGCATCTTGAAGATAGGGCTCATAATATAGCCTGCAGTTCCAACTAGTTAGTTTAACGAAAGGGAAAAATCACGCCAGACAAAATTCATTAGAATTCTTTGAGGAGGTAACAAGCAGGCCAGATAAAGGGGATGTAATAGATTTGGATTTTCAGAAAACATTTACTAAAAAGAGTATCACACATTACGCTACTTAATAAGTTAAAAGCCCATCGTGATGGAGGTAGTATGGATAGAAGATTTGCTAACGAGCAGAAGACAGTTGGGATTATGGGGGCATGGGGAGAACATGGCAATCTGTAACAAATGGAGTGCAACAGGTATCACTGCTGGGGCCACAATTATTTATTTATTTACAATATATACTAATGACTTAGATGAGGAAATTGAACAAAGTTTACAGTTGAAAAAAAATGGTGGGATAAAAAAAGTGAGTGGCGAAGATGATATGAAGTCTTCAGAGGATATAGATAGGTCAAGCAAGTAGGTAAAAACTTGGCAGATGGAATATAATGTGGGGAAAATGTGAGTTAAGTACCATGGCAGGGTGAATAGAGGAAGTGAATGGAGAAAAAAAAACTGCAGAAAGCTACAGTACCCAGAGGGATTTGGGAGCTCTTGTGCATAAATCACAAAAAGCTGACATTCAAATTCAACAGGTAGTATGGTAGGCAAATGGAATGTTGACCTTTTCTTTGGAGTGGATTATGAAAATAGGGAGACTTTGCTAAAACTAAACAAGGCACTTGTCAGACTACATCCAGAATACCGTGAACTGTATCTTTCCTTTGAATACTCGTTATTGGAAGCAGTCCAGAGAAAATTCACTCGATTGATCCCAGGTATGGCAGGTTTTCTTGAGAGGTTGAGCTTGTGCTCATTGGAGTTTAGCAGAATGCAAGGAGAACGTATTGGTTCTTAGGGGCTTTACAGGATGGATGTGTAAAGGTTGTTTGCAGCTGTGGGAGAAGGTAGGGCCAGACAGCATAATCTTAAATTAACGGGTGACTTATTTAACACAGCTGAGGAGGAATTTCTTCTTCAGAAGGTAGGGAATCGATGAAATTCTCTCACAGACAGCTGTTGAGGCTACCTCATTAAGAATATTCATGGCGGAGGTTTACGGATTTTTAAGCAGAAAGGTAGTCAGGGGTTATGGGGATAAAAGCAGGAAAGTGGAGTTGAGGATTATCAGATCAACCATGATATCTCTGAATGGCAGAACAGACTCAACGGACTGAATTGCCTATTTCTGCTCCTAAGTCTTATGATCTTAATCCTACTCCTTTCAGTAGGAGTTAATAGATAGTAGTTTGGAGCTATTAGTGACCCGCTTCATCCTCAACTTTGGATGTTAATGCTTGCCTCTTGAAACACAGTTATTTCCCTAGGTGAGATCAGCTTTCAGTACAGGCCAGACGATTCAGTAACTAAATATTGTTCGTTACTCAACACAGTCACTGATTTTGCTAGCAAGTCTCTATTCCCCACTTTATATGGAATTCAGTTATAAAATTCATTACTTCTTTTATGAAAAGGGGAGATAAAAGGTGAGCTGTTTAACTGCACAGTGTGCAAGATTATAAGAAAAGAACACTGAAATTTGCACACAGTCTCCATAATCGAAGAAAGGGATATAACTGCCTTAGAAGTGATATAGGAAAAATATCTAAACTGGTTCCTGGAATAGAGGATTGTCCTTTAATAAAAAAATCGAAGTAAATTGGACCTCAACTCTTTGCTACATAGAAGGAGAGGTAATCTAAAAGAAACATACAAGATCCTGAAGGGACAAGACAGGGTAGACACTGAACTCAAAGGTTGCTTCCCCTGGCTTGGGAATCTAGAACATTGGGGTACATCCGGGGTAAATGGTCAACCATTTTAGGACTGAGACAGAAATTTCTTGAATATTATATATTAAATATTTGGAATTCTATGCTTTTGAGGGTTATACATGCTTCATCATTGAATATATTCAAGGCTTTGATAGATTTGTTTGATATCACAGGGAATTAAGGGATGGGGCGGAAGTGGGCAGGAAAACTGGACTCAGGGAGGAACATCAACCACGATAGCACTGAATTTGTACAGCAAGCTAGACGGGCTGTATGTTCCTAACTATAAAACCACTTGTTATTACTTCAACAAACCACATGGCAACCTGCAATGTGACAAAGCTCATTTCCCACGAGGCTCAAGAGTTGCAGTGTCAATTTCAAATTAGAACGGAGAACAAGAAACAAACTTATGGTAAAAATGGCAGAGATGATGAATTGCTTACTTTAGCTCAGACTGGTTCGGCTTACCTTGTCTTTAAAGTCTGCATGGTTTTGGAGTATTGCTCTTTGGTAAGTGCCTGTCCGTATGTAGTCTTGCATCATATTCTGTTGTTGCGATAAGTATCCATAGAACTGCAAAGAGATCGAGAACTTAAAATAAAAGACACACAGTCTAAATTAAAGACATTTCTCTCAAGAGGAAAAACTAAACAGCAGTCAATAGGAGCAAGTTAGTTGCTATAATTGAAACATTCCTGGCAAAATGCTTCTGCTAAGAAGCATATTCTCTTACATTCTGCGGCTGTAGTTTTGGCATGACGTTGTGATAAAAAGGAAAAAAAAATGGGAAGGTCAGACAAGTAATGATGATCACCGCTGGTGATTAATAGTGGCTACCTAGACTTCAAGTAAAAATCAATAAAATGCAAAATACTAACGGCACACCCCAGTCACAGTCAGCATCTTCAAAAAAGATGGAAAGGATATTGGGTATGGAGGACAGGAGGGGAAAAAAGGCATAAGAAGAGATGGAAATTAAACATTTTGTCCACACAAATCACTAAAAAGTTAAAGGTTAACTGAAAGATGCTTAGCCTAGGAAACAGTACCTGGAAATACTGCACAGCAGAAGACTCCTCTGTTCGGTCACTGAAGACAGATCGTTCAAGGTTGTGACCTCTGCAGTTTTTCAGAATATTGAAAAAGGAGTAGAACTCTGGAGAGACAGTACAAGTGGAACTGAGCACAACCATATCATTTAAATAACATTTACAACAAATATTTAGCTAATGTATATATACTCATTTTAGTTGAATATTTGGCTGGGGATGGTGGGAAAGAAAGAGAAAAAAAAAAGACATTTCAGGGAAAGTTCTAGCACTAGAACAAAATAAAAAGAAAAAAAAAACAACAAAAAAAAACAAAACAAAAAAAAAAAAACTTAAGCTACCGCTGACCAGTCTCTCACTTCCACTGGACCATTCTGCACTGAAACGGGCTATATCTCATCTGCTCTGTCTGATGCCTGTAGGACTGATGGAAGGTAGGAGCAACCACATGGTCAGCTCGTGCTAAGTTAGGAGCAGAACCTCAAAACTAGGGAGGAGCATCAGGGGACAAACTAGACATATTAGCCTCCAATATAACTACAGATCAAAAAACCTCACTTAATAAGCAAACAGACCATGGCAGGCTGTTGTAGTGAAGGAGCTCCCTACGCACCTTGCAGTCTACTGGATTTAAACTCCATAGTTTGCTATTTAAACAAAAAAAAAAAGACATGGTAAGCATGTTATTGAGCTGTGTTCAAGAGGATCACAACCAGCAATCCAATTAAGCTCAGCACTTATTGGAAAAACAGCATCTCATCTTAGACACTGGGGTCCTTGCATCCTTCTGGATCCAACACAATTCAACAATTTTGATTACAGCTTCTGTACCTATTTTGGTCAGGGTTTCTTTACTGAGAGTTTTTTCCTTGTTTCTCTTATTTCCTTTACAATGCATTAAACCAGCATCTATATTGCTATTCACACCACTTCTAGACATCTCTTGTTCTTTTACTTGGCCCGTTACCACTTCCTTTGATTTTGCCCCATGAAACTCTGTCATTTAAATCTAACCACCCCTTACCTCACACCGTCCCTTTTGTTTCCCTTCTCACCTTCGCTATTTACCTGCTCAAAATCCATTACGTTTCTAGTCCTGAAAAAAAGTAATTGACTGGAAACAGAATTCTATCTCTCCTTCCACAGTATACTTTTAGCACATTCTATTGCTGTTTCAAACTTCCAGCACCTATGTAGTATTTGGTCTTCACGTCGTTCCAAAAAGACACATTTATTGTGCATTTTCCCCCGAGGCATTAAGGGCTCACATACAAGGAGAGCAGAGTGATGGGCATGAGATATTGTCTCAAACAAATAAAAAACAACACAAGTTGCTGGAAGAGCTCAGCAGGTCTGGCAGCATCTGTGAAGAGAAATCAGAGTTATTTTCTTCACAGATGCTGCCAAACCTGCTCAGCCTTTCCAGCAACTTGTGTTTTTGTTCCTGGTTTACAGCATCTGCAGTTTTTTTGTTTAGATATTTTCTAATCAACTTGTTCAGATGTTATTTCACACCTCTGAAGCCGGTGGGACTTGACCAGAGCCGTCTGGCTCAAAGGCTGGGAAACTACCAGCGCCTTCTTATGCAGGGCGTTTAAACTTGGATCATTGAATAGGACCCTCACCAATGCCACTCCTGCTGATAACAGTGTCCCACATTGGAGCCCAGCTGTCAACAAATTTGGTTCAGATCATGAAGAATGAAAAAAAACTTAAAAGACCTTGAAATTGCTTCTGTCAATTTAACGGGGTAATTAATTAGTCAAACTGCAACTTCCTGTGACAGTGCAACACCTGTAAGCTGCAGCATGAGAAATGACCAAACTTCCATTGTTACCCAACCTGGATTTTAGACATTTTTACCAACGCAAAAATACTATGGATTTGGAAAATCTAATTTTTTTTTAAATTAGAAAACATTCAATAGGACAGGGAGCATCCATTTCTCTTTGGAATATTTATGGCATTGTTTTCTCCTTGAATATGACTTGACTGGAGTAATTCCAGCATTTCCTACACTGTCTTCTCTATGCTTTGAAAGAAGGCAGTTGAGATTTCAGTGCCCAGGGATAAAGCTGCACGCATGAGAGAGATAGCCCTTACCATTCTGTGATGGAAACTGTAGGAGGACACTGCTACATCCCAATGTGACAATGAAGGACTGCTTGCCGACGCGACTGCATTGCGTTTCCCGATTCACTGCACACTTAAATACACAGACCGTCTCATCTGTAGGATTAAAGAGTTTGTAAAAGATTAAGAAGACTATACAGTGCAGTGAACCATCACTCATTCATTCTGCCTAACAGCAAAGAAAATTTCTTTTTAAATTGAAAAGTACCACCCCAACCCAAGGCAGAAGTTCCCACACCCATGAAAATACTGCAACAACATTCTGTACTGTTTAAAGACAGCAGTTTTCACACTTTAATTAGTGCGAAGTTGGTCTTTATTTTGGAAACATAATACATTCCAGTCCTTCAGTCACACTATATGACCTGTGGAACATTACTGTTCCACTACGTATAAAAGAGAAAGTTTGACAGGAGTTACAAAGCATTAATTCAATTGATGGCCTGCACTTGTCAAGGCTCCACGATCCACCTGGGAAGAAATTAGAGGGGTACAGAGGATTAAGCACATTTTTTGATAACCTTCCCTCTCTAGTGTCAGGAGCCAATAGAGAGATATTAGTTCAGATGCTGCAGCTTTCTTGTTATGCTCTCAAACATGCTGTAACCACAATCTGGGATGAAGACGAAGAGTCCCTGGTTTCTTTATACTTTACAAAATATGTACAAAAGGATGAGTGCGCGAGACAGCAAGAAAGAAAAGATACCCAACTACTGGCAGAGGTCAACACTTGGCACTTACATCCTAAATGATCCATCACTCCTTGCGCAAATGACAGCAAACCCCAAATTACGGAAAGGTCAACTGAACTCATATGTCCTTGCTGATCAATTCCTCCATATAGTCTTTGGCCCAAGATATAAATTGCCCTAGAGTGGATTAGTCTCATTAATACCTGATGTCCCAAGAATAGTGGGCAGTAAATTCTACACAACAATTTCAAATATTTTCTACTGCACAGCAGAAAATGTACCCTTTCAGTTTGGGCTTTGATCAAAAAAAGTCACAAGACTTGAGACTGGGTCCTTCCACATTTCTCACTTCTTATTACAATAAGTTTACCAACCCAGTTTCAAAGCAACAACAGCCTGGACCGCAAATACTAACTTTTGTTAACACGAGTGCCTGTGCAATCAATTAAAATAAAAAGTGCAGGATTGCAAGACTAAGTAAAGGGAACATCTGCATAACATGCTGGACAAATGGTTTGGAGTGCTGTTGAGAAAATAAATTAAGTCAGCATAGAACTTAACGTAGTTTAAAAAGCAGCATGGTTAGTTTCCAGATTCCTTCACATTTAACAAAACGAAAGGCACTGAGATTAATTACGGGGGCACTATACCATTCTGTGGAATTAACATTACCTCAAACTAGAGATTCCCAAACAGTACTAATCCACAATTCCAGAAATATTTTTATTGAACTTAACGTTCTCCATCAGCCAAGAAAAAATAAATTTGATATTAATTATCCCAAACTGACTAAATTGAGCTGGATACACCAGGAGAGGGTAAAGAAACATCAACATACATAATCCTAGAGCAGTGCTTCCCAAAGCTTTTTACACAGTGACCCAACTGCAAAGCTTAAAAATTACCATCTTGTTCAGTAAATTGCGAGACCACAGAGATGGAAACTGTGGGGCCAAGGTGGAGTGTATGGTGAGGAGTTTAATCTTTAGGGATTTTTAAACCTATTTCTTCCCCTCTTTTGACACAGGCCTCAAAGAGCAATCCATTAAGACACACCTACCTTTTGAAAAAAAAAGCTTTGACACAGCTGTTAATACTTGGTTGAAGCCACATGGCAGCCATCACTGCCTTAAGGTCTATAACTCCACCCAGAGTTTGGGGAAGCCCTGTCCTGGAGTAAAAATTATTGTGGCCACGTTTAAACTTTGTTCAGCTCCTCAAAATGTGTAGAAGCATGGTACAAGATCCTGGAGTGTTTCACAAATTTAAACTGAAATTAGTTAATAAAAAGATCTCCCACCCCATCTTCTGCATTCATCTCACTTGTTCTGTAAAGAAGAAGTTCAGATCCTTTGAAATAATCCATCATGTTAATCACAGTCCCATTAACAGGCTTCAGTGCATGTTGCATATCTAATGCTGAAATTAAGATTTGTAACTTGAGGTATGCAGTCTCAGATGTTTACAGCAAAGAAGGCGGCCATTTTGATCATTGTCTATATGCTTGTCAACAGAAGGTCTGACTACACTGATATTTTTCAGCTTTCACCCCTTAGCCCTGGGGGTTATGGCAATACAAGTGAATATCTAAATACTGCTTCAACGTGACTCGAGTTTCATACTCAACCACACTTTCAGAGTGCTCCTGACTCCCACCACCCTCTTGGTGACAGCAAAAACTCTTCAAAGCATTCCACTTCTTGCCTTAAATCTATGCCCCTTGGCTATGCACTCTACTTTTTTTTGTAACTGTCTCAACATCCACTTTATCCATGCCTCTCTCTATCAAGTCCCCTCGTAGATACCATTGCTTGAAGGAAACCACCACAAGCCTATCAATTTCCTCACTGCCACATACCCAGGCAGCATCCTAGTAAATCTCCTCTGTACCTCCTCTAGCAAAACTGCATCTTTCCCATTAATGGAGTTCCCAGAATAACACACAGTACTCTGGATGTGGTCTAACTAGAATTTTAATACAGTTCTAGTCAATCAGTGGACCTGACGAATGCACAGAAACATATAATACTTTGAATACTTGGAAAAACTTTCTACATTTCGAACGAAAAGTCAACAATCCTATGTTAATCCCACTCCCAAGAAACAATAGCTCAAACCACTTAACAGCCAATGAAGCACTTAAAATACAGCTATGGTTGTAATGTAGGAAAAGCCACAGCCATTTTGCACAAACCATGAGGAAAGTGCAGGAATTAAAGTTTCCTTATAAATCTGGAATTAAAAATGCTACTCTCAGATAGGATGATAGAGACTATTGGATTGGTCCAAAAACTCAACTGGTTCTCGAATGTCCTTCAGGGGAAGAAATCTGCCATCCTTACCTAGGCTGGCCTACACAAGACGCTAGACCTATATAAAACTGTTGTTGATGGACCGAGATATCAGCCTTTGACATTGCTGTAGGTGTACCTGCTGCAGTGTCCTAGGCCCAGATATGTTCAGTTGCTTCACTGAACTTCTCTCTGATGCAAGGTCAGAGGTGGGGGGTGTTCATTGACAATTGCATGATGTTTTGCATAATTCACAACTTTTCAGATACCGGAGTCAGTGCCAATATTCAGCAGTACCTCCACAACATTTGGCCTTGGGTTGAACGTAACGTTTGCAAAGGTCAAGGCGATGACTGTCTCCAACAGGAGATAACTGAATCACATCCCCTTCACATTCAAAAACGTTACCAGAGCAGAATACCTACCATCAACATGTAGGGAATTATTATTGATCAGGAACCTAAACAGGATATGTCATATAATTACTGTGACTACAACAGCAGGTCAGAGACAGGGATTTTGCCACAAGTAATTCATCTGCTCTCAACTCCTTAAAGCCTGTCCAGCCAGTACACTGCTATTTTGGAGGAGTACAGCTTTAGCAACACAAAAAACTCAGAATGATCCAGGACAAAAGTAGCCTGCTTCACTGACACACCAACCACTCCCTCCACTGACAAATCGTCAGCAGTGTATACCATCTACAAGACGCACTGCAGTAGCTCACCGAGGTTGTTTCAACAGCACCCTAAAACCTGTGGCCTACAATCACCTAGAAGAACAAATGCAATACACGCATGGGGAACACCACCACCCGCAAGCCCCGTTACAAGTGAAGATGCGATGTATCCATGCCCATGGTGCTGTTTGGAAGAGTCGCTGGGTCAAAATCCTGTAATAGTGACAGTTCCAAGTCAGAACAGTATGCAACTTGAAACTATCTACATCACATGGACTGCACGTGCAAGTTCAAGACACCAGTTCACCACCATCTTTTGAGAGCACTTTGCGGTGTGCAACAAATACGGGCTTTGTTAACAATACTCTTACCCTGTAAAATAATAAAACGGATTAGATAATCTTTTCTCTAATTAATTCTGATCGAGGATAGATATTTGCCATGAATCTTTCCCCATTTTCTTTTCATAAAAAAAATAAAGTGCTATGGGATGTTTTACATGTAATTGGGAATGCAAACCATGTCTTGGCTTAACACTGCTTCCAAAATGAAACAACTCCCTCATAGCAGCATTTTCCCAGTTCTATACTGGGGTGCTAGCCTACATATTTAAGCTTAGAGGGCAAGGGTGCATCATACAGAGTCAGGATCGCTACTTTACGTCACAATTGAGACTTGTAGAGTCACAGTCATACAGCACAGAAACTGACCCTTCGGTCCAACTAGTCCATGCTGACCATAATCCCAAACTAAACTAGTCCCACCTGCCTGCATTTGGCCCATATCCCTCCAAACCTTTCCTTTTCATCTACTTAGCCAAATGTCTTGAGCATTTTAAAGTATACCCACATCCACCACTTCCTCATGAAATTCATGCCGCACACGAACCACCTTTGTGTAAAAAAAATTGCTCCTTATGTCTATTTTAAACCTCTCTCCTCTCACCTTAAAAAGTGTCCGCTAGTCTTGAAATCCTCCATACTAGGGAAAAGACAACTACCATTAACTCTCTATACCTCTCAAGGTTTTATAAAAATCTCTATAAGGTCACCTCTCAACCTCCTATGTTCCAGTGAGGAAAGTCCCAAACTATCCAGCCTTTCTTTATAACTCAAATCTTCCATACCCAGCAACATCCTGGTAAATCACTGAACTTTCTCCTCTTGGATAAACTTTTTTGGATCCTCAGTTCTTGAAAAAGTCTTGCTTTGTGAATAACACGTGTCTACTCAGTTAATTCAAAATATCCCACTATTACGCTAATTTTGCGCAAATTAAGAGCTTAAGGAGGTGAGCAGCAGCAGCAGCAGCAGTTAGGAGATATCCATATACTTAAGAAGTCACGAAAAGTTTGGTGCATTATGGTTTCAGTGGAATCTGTAGACAAAGTCAGGTTTTTTTTAAAGTCATCTAATTCACATAGAAATACAACAT